GGGCGAAATAGTAATCATACATGAATTAATTTGCAAGATAACGACAGTTATTACACCACGCACGGGGAGTTATTCGTTCCCGTCGTGGCCAGACGTAAATCGCGCGATGTTTTACTCACGCTGTAGCGATAAATCCGCGCCGAGATCCGCCGGATAAATCTGTGGGATCCCTCACTCATCCTATTCTTTCTCAATTTAGCCGCGCTTGTGAATGATTGCCGCACTTCTCGCGCATTTTTCTAGCCGGCCGGCCGGCCGGCTAGTGGACACGACTCGACAAGGATTCTCCGTCGTCCTTCACCATAGAGGGTGCACACGACGACGAGGCGTTCGCCGCCGGGCGAACGCTATTTTTAGATCGCCAGAGAGCTCTCCATTTGGCACGGCACTTCCACGAGTGGCCGTGGGAAGTGGTAAGTACCGGAATGTGCCGGAATATGTACCGCCGCCACCCCCGTATAAATCCCGCGGGTGCAATCCCGTAGAAGCGGTCCATTATGGCGGAACAGGGACTCCGGGATAACCGGGTGAGACCTAAGAGGCCACTTTCGCCCGCCCAGCCGCGAGAAAGCGCGCCGATTGGATAACGAGTGATAAAAAGGAAAGGAAAAAGGAAAAACTCCCGTGGCGGTTTTCTTATTTATATCCGACGGATCGGTCGTCTGCGTTCCGTATGTTAGTTCTTATCCTTTTCTTTGTTCGTTTGACACATGCGCCCCTTTCGCATGCACGCGCAATCTTAAGCCCGATCTGGGACCTGGAAAGTTTCTTCGCGCCTGTTACCATCGTATCTCCGTTTCGCCTGCATTATTTCGCTGGTATTCGTAATTTGTTTCTTTTTTTTTATCGCACGCGCGAGCATAAAGTTAAACGCGCGCGCGGTGAGTTATTACCGGGAGGATAAGCCGCTAGGAAAATCTCGGCGCGCAAGGTCGAGTCGCCGCTGTTAATTCAGCGGTGTACTGTCGCGCGCGTCGTTTGTGCGCGAGTGTGTTACTGGAGATTAATGTCTAAATACCCGGATACGGGGGAATTACTGTGCAAACAGTAGTTTTGGTCAACGGCTTACCCCACGTAGTGCGCAATCGTGAGGTAAGGCGGCAATAATAACACATTCCACGTTCTCCCTCCTCGTATAGCGTACGTAATTAAACGTATAATTGATATAACTAGTGAATATAATTCATGCGGTGCTCGTAAATTCGTAGCGCAACTGTACTGTCTATGGGAATTTGGATAATATCAGATTGGAATACCTCATCTCACACCGCAGAAAGCGACAGGTTTCACCGTTTCGTCCTGTCGCCTTTCATCGCCCTTCCGACCTCGTCGCGTAAAACTTTCGAACCGACTGAGAGTCGTACAATATATGCAGGTGTTAATGGCGACGCTAAATGCAAGAGAGACTTACCTTACCTTACGTTTGTCCCCGACTTTTTGTTTCTTCGGCTTCCGACGCGTCTCTCTCCTCCGAAGGCTTCGCGCTCCTCCTCTGCCCGAAGAAAACTTCAGTAATCCGACTCGCGTATAATCCGAGCGATGCTCACTTTGAGCTACAAAATTCCTCTCCTCTCGTGAAAACGAAGGCCATGCCTCTCTTTCTCCCGTCTTTTCTCGAACGACGCGACAATCTGGAACGAACCAGACGCAATCTCAGATTAGATTAGATTACGAAGCACCTCGAGAATATTATTGATCCATGTGTGGAATAGCTGAGGAAAGAGTGAGAAAGAAACGTTCGTGTCGCGTGACATAAGTTGCGATAACGCGAGTCTATCGGCAGCGATATCGAACAGATTCTGATCTCTTCTCGGTGAAATCTCACGTAAGACTGCGAATGCTTCGGATGCGCGGAAGAAGAGCGACGCGACAAGCGCGCGATGTACGCGAAACGCACAAGATTCCTCATGATTGATACTTCGAATTGCGAACTGATGAGACTTGCCGAATTCTCGTAGCAAAATACACGACGTGCAATGTAACGTTCAACTACGTCGTCACTCGGATATCTTCGATTGCAAGACAGATAGCTCTCACGGAAAGACTATTTATCTTCAATGACATATTTCATAAGTTAAAGCGCAACCTCACCATCCATAGCCCCCACCGCACGCGTGATGTAATCGTCTTTGTAAGATAACATTATTTTCCGAACGTTAGGCGCCTAAATTCATTAAATTTCCGTTGTATTATACGGACAGCTAATTTTTACCTACGTGAGCTATTTCTTTTTTTTTCCGCGAAAGGGGGGGATTTTCCTCAGCATTTTTCCGTTATCCGCGAGATTAACGAATTACGTCTCGGCCGAATCATCGGTTGATTAATTCAAGACAGATCAGCTTTTCCGCGCGTATTTGGATGACGAGGAAGTATGAATTGAGCGCACAGCCGGTTTGAGACGGGAAAACGGGAATTGAGCGGCGCGTCGCGTTGACTTAATGGGATGCGCGAGAGGACTAATGCGCGCAGATTTGTGAACGTCGTCACGTAGTCTCTCGCACGCACTCAAAGTGTGCGGAGAAACAAGTTAATTAAGAGGACCACCCGGGTGTATCTCTTCTCGTTCCCTCTCTCGACGGTCTTCGACGAGATGGGAAACTTGCCAAGTCGACACTAGAGAGTCGATTTTCCGTATCGCCTCTGAGTGACGCGACGCAACGTCGTCGGCATCGCTGCTCGTATCGTCGCTCGTATCGGGACGCGTACAAAATATTAAAATATTAAAGAAAAATCAGTAAAGATACATTTGAATAAAAGAGATGATTTTTCATCTTTTCACCATCAGGTCTAACAATTTGCACGTGTCTGTATAGTCTGTATATTCTGTCTACATATAAACGACGTAACCACATTCCAAGTTCAAAATGTCAGAGTCACGTATCGTTATTTGAAATTTCTCACCGTGTTTCCTCTCATTCGCCTCTCTTCTCCCGTTTATTCTTCACTGTTCGTGCGCGCGAAAGCGCACGGTGCAACTTCGCGACTCGGTCTCGCGCTGCTAACTTAGCCGAGCTGTCCAATTACGTAACCGATGACAGGAGAATTCCGGTATGACCAGCGCGAACGGTGGCTTCCCGGCGCTCTTTAGCGCCGGCGATAGAACTTAATGCCATATTTTACGAGCTCGTAAAATAAACGATTAAGATCACGGATCACCGTAATCGATGCCCACCGTCGCTCCCCTCTCGTCGTAGCTCAGCCCGCGCACAGTCGTATCGTCGTAAAATTGGCACCGAATTAAACGTCATCCCCCCCCCCCCTCCC